CAAACCAACTGAGACCTGTCTGTCCACTGCATCTACGCACACACTGTACCACACACACACACACACACACACACACACACACACACACACACACACACACACACACACACACACACACACACACACACACACACACACACACACACACACACACACACACACACACACACACACGGTGCTGCCCCTCACACACACACACACACGCTTCAAATCAAGTTGCATAAAGCTTGAGCTACGTTTTTATTATAATTACTGTGAAATCTGCCTATTATGTTTTCGTCATTATTACAACAAATACACACTTGCAACTGATAACACTGGCAATGTATTTATATTTATTAGACTGTTAAAAAAAAATCATGCTTCAAATAAGTGGGGGTACGGCGTACCCCCGCGTCCAACGCCCACTACACCACTGGTTGTCACTATAAGTACAACATATTTTTTGGACGGACACTATAATTTACAGTTTTTTACCATGTTCAATCTGGGTAAGCAGCTCTAAAAAGTAGTGTTTTTAGCCTGACTAGTGTCTTAAAAGAACTCAGCGTTGGTGAAGACCTCAGGTTTTCTGGAAGTTTGTTCAATTTGTGGGGAGCATACAAACTAAAAGCAGCTACATTTTGTATCTTGTCACTGATTGGTCCAAAAGGTATCCACATTATTTTGGATAAAATAAAAAAAAGATCCCTTTTAAAATGAGTATGAGGTTATTGGGAAATAAGATTAATTAAGTAAATAATTGACCTGAAGTTAAGAAATGTGTTTATTGCTGATAACTAAATGTCGATACATTGAGGTTTATTCTTTACATTAAAACGTCAATGTAAATTCCCTAGAATAAGAAAATTGATATAAAATAGTCTAAAAGAAATAGCTTTTTTTTTTTTTTATATCTTAATAAGCAAATATCATCATAAACCAGAGATGATAGAGGGTATTGAAACACCTTTGACAGGCATTGTTTTTTCCCTAATATTAAACAATATAAACGTAATGTAATAAACTGTGTGAATTAAGGACAAGTTAGAGGTAAAACATTTAAATCCATTAAACTTGATTTATTTTAAAACATATAAACACATTAAGGGTCAACGATTATTGTTGCTTAAAAATACTGTACACTGAGAATTAAACATGTCCTTACAGCTGCGTTCCCTGAAATTCCTTCTTGGGGAGAATCAAAGTAAATGAGTTCCAAGATAAGTTTTGCCATTGCCATTAATTGCAATCATTTATTTAGTTTAAACGGCACTTAATTAATAGTGTTTGACACACTCCCTCAGATAACAGAGTTAGAGCAGGTTGGACGAATGTCATTGATTTAATGAACATACAGCACAGAAACACTTTCCCACTGCTGCGTCTAGGAGATCCTTTCGAAAGTACAAGCTTAGATTTCATGAACAAATGTCATTCTTACAACTGATCTGTAGCTGCAGCCCAGTTTAAATTGCCACCATATTTATTCAGTTTTATGTAGAAGAAAACACTCTGTTTAATGCATTTCTGTCTCAATTTCTTGTGCAATCTAAATGAAAGCAGATTGTGCATGCCTCTGTGTCTGACAGAAACAGACAATTGACTTAAAAAAGCTCTGTCTTTCTGACAGACTGACATGAGAAGAAAAGCTAAATTTCCACGCTCCGGTTGCTCCTTTTGACTCCAGATCACTCACACGGATTGGTGTGCCAGGTAGCACAAAGGCTGCAGGATTACAAGTGAGATTTGGTTGATGTCTTTTTACACTTCCTTTTGGTTAAAAAAGGAAAATAATGAATTGACGTCATACTTTTTGTAGCTTTCCGTTCCTACCCACCACAACTTTGAGCAAGAAAAGAAGCTAAATAAGAAAAAAAGAAAGATAACACCTTGAAAAAAAACAACAACTCCTGCAGCAGTTAGCAGTTAATTAAAGGGTTTTCTCTTCCACTTTTCCCACACATCGCTTCAACTTGGAAATCTCTCGCTGTCTCGCCTCTACCTGTTTCTCTTCCTCTTCTCTTCCCGTTGCATCTTTCAATGGACGCACTGCTTGTCACTGTCCATGCATCATGTTAAACTCATTGTTATCTGTAGGCATTTACTTTACCAGAACATCATTTTACGAATAAAGGAATAGTACATTTTAATTGCTTTTTTGTGGAACATTAGATTAGATGATCATGAGGGTGCTACTCTGCAAGTATTTTTAACCAACCGCTATGCCTTTAATCAGCAGGCCACCCACGAATGATGACATCACAATCATTTAAGTGTAGGCATAGATTAACATGTGGCCTTATTTGACTGTGACTCAGTGTTATAAAAACTAAAGTAGGAGCTCAAAATGATGACCTGCACTATTTGATTTACATCAGGATCCAAAGTTCTACTAGGCTAATTTATATTTTTACAACAGTGATATAATAGTTGTAATCATTAACTAACTCCACATAGTATACAGGGCACCAAACATGCTGTTAATTTAATCATTCATCTTTAGCAGAATATATGTATTGTATTCAGCATTGTCTGTAAAAGAACAGTACATCTATAAATCCCTGGATTGTTTTCAGTTCACGTTGAGAGGCAGCTGCTTCACTCATTGCTTACAAAGAACACAAGGCGTATGGAGTAAACCGTGTCCAGGGTGTAAACAATGACGTTGAATATCGTCATGAAGGTGACCACCACCAGTTTATCCCAGGGACAGAGGGAGGCACAGGTAATGGGTCTCTTATTGTTGCGGAAACTGTACAGTGGCCAGATCACCATTGCTGTTGTATACATCACTGCTGCCAAAATGTTATAGACAATCACAACTTTGTCAAAGAATGGAACAAAAGAGGTCAGCTGTGCAGTGGTGAGCAGGATTATGAGGAGGGCGAAGATGAAGCACAAGGAGTACGCGGCCACGCACCACTGCAGTCCTGGGAAGCTTGAATACTGTCCTGTCTCCAGGGACATGAAGATAAGACAGGCGAGGAATGTCTCCAGCATCTTCATGATGCCGGGCAACGTGGAGAGGAACCCGATGTTCTGCCCGCTTGGACGAAGGCGAGTTAAAACCACCTCGCCTGCGTACACCCCGAAACAAACCCAGGACACAACAGAGGCTCCGATCTGTCGGTAGCAGGTCTTGCAAGTGAAAAATGTGGGGTATATGATGGAGACGGAAAGACACATGAGGGTCGACAGCATGGCAAAGCCAGTGGTGAAATCCTCCCAGGCAAAAGGTAATTTGGCGTTGACAGTTGTGAACTCCAGGATGAGAATGAGAAGAGTGAAGAAGAAGCAGAAACACCAGGTGAACATGCACCACGCCCAGTAGGGGGACTGTACGTATCCCACTGTTGCCACCAGGCTAAAACACATACAGGTGAGGATGGCCGCCATTATTCGCATGATGCCCACTGGCTGAGTGAGCGCCCGCAAGTCCACACCAATCATGACTGCACAGGATGAATCCGTTTGACCCCAAAAAAAAAATGTTTCCAATGTCAGATGATTCTTCTCAGTGCACCCCTCGTTCAGCAAGGCCTTGTTTTTCAAACCAGCTCCTGTCAAAGAAATCCATGTAGCCAAGAGCTCCTGAGCAGGTGTGTTCTTTGAAACTGAAACTCAAAGTGTGGTGGGTGTATACTCAAACAGAGCATCCCAGGCTTATCTGCACAGTTTATGGCCCGTGTTTGACTTCACGGATTGGACACAGGTTGTCTGTTATCATATTCATCTCATGCCACACACATTGAACTCTGGTCCTCAGTGCAAGCCTTGTTCAGAAACTAATCTCCAACACAATGATGGGGTGTAAGGTCAAGTCCTACGGAAAATCACACTCTGGATCCAAAGATAGATCTCATATTTGTCCCTGGGTAGTTTAATAATGTTTTTTTAAATCAAATATATAGTTTTTTAATTGAAGTGTATACACTTTGTCAGTTAACAGCATAAAAACACTCCATGGTATACTAGTTAGAGCAATACATAATACTTATATATAAAACAAAACAACAGGACATTTTGAATGGTTGGTGTAAAATAATCTGAAAATCAACAATTACGTGGATCAAATCAGATCATAAAAGATCCTCGTAGTGTAAGAAAACTCAAGAGACCCTTTAATGCTTTAGCATATATAACAGTTCACGTCTTTAGCCACATTTATTAGAGTTGACTTTAACTACATTAAAATAACGTGAAGAAAGTTTATATTATTCTATTCCACATAAAAAAGAGAAAAATAACAATAGATTGTTTAGTGTATTTACTCAATGTTAGTCATTACATCAGTGTTGACATTGCCCTCTACCAAAAGCAAAATATACTGTTAAAACTTAAACTCACTTTCTATACATTAAGCCAAGAAGCAAAACAAATTATAAAAAAATCTCCTCGTATATGACAACAAAAGCACTCATTACAAAATAGATATGTTGTATTTTGGTGCCTTTGGTACCCTAAGGGTAAGTTTGCATTATGGTTTGGGTCCAAAATAACATTGTGTAATGTGGTCGATAACCTATAACTTATAGACACAGAAAGCCCTTTTTAAATTGATGTTTGATTTTACTCTCTCTCTCCTTCTCTTGATTTGTGTTTACAAGATCATTATTACTTCTTCTCGTGATTCTCCATTTTTACTGTAGAGGGCAGCAATGCTTGGACTGGAGTAAGATTGTGTATCTAACTTCAAAAGATATTATTACGATAAGCAACCAGACTTTAATCCTGACCTATCACTTCCTTGTTATAAAACACATTACCGTCACTACTTTTTTATTTTGACAGTTTCATCATTAAATGTGGCAAACACAGAGGAGTAACTACATATCATGATAGAGAACAGTTTGTTTCTACGAAAAGCAGAAAAGTTTGAGTGGAGTTGTGGAAGGTACACACTTTGGCACACCTTTGCAAACATCCTTAGAAAAGGATAGGAGAGGGCCAACTGCGCCGGTTTAAATATTACACAGTTTATTAGGTCATTAAACATATTACTCATTTACAAGTCCAAATCCAGGAATGTTTTTAATTAGTTACCGAGGTGCTGAAACAGTTAAGAAATAGCGACACTTGTGTTGATGACAAAAATCACACTTTTATTCCTATTTCAAACACTGGAATTTACAACAATATAACTGAGACTATCATTGTCATATCAATGCTGTATCAAAAATAACGGAATTAAGAGTCAATTGAGAATAATGCAAGTAAACAATAGATTGAGATAGCATCTTCTTAATGTTAAAAACTAGACACAGGACTGTTATTCCATGTCCTCAGAGAATGTATCATTAATAAATAGAAGTAAGCAAATTAAAACTACCACAAAGAGTGTCAGGGTTATCATGAACAAAACTACAGTGAATTTTTAACAGTAGTTATCAAAGAGCTGCTTTATCTAAGTTCTGTTTGACACCTGAACTATGATGCGTTTTTGCACCCTATGTTCTGCTAACAAAAAACACCAGCCTACAAGAATAAATAGTATCGGCAATGTAAGCACCAAGGTTAAAAGCGGTCATGAAGGAGATAACCACTAAATTATCCCACTGACATAGAACACCTGCCTTGCAAGTGCTCGGCCTGGGATTGTTCTGGAAGCTATACAACGGCCAGATGACCACAGCTGTGAGGTACATCAACACCGCCAACACGTTGCATGCTGTCAGGACTTTGTCAAATGGTGCGGGGAAGAGAGACAGAAGGCGGCAGACGGTAAAGATGATGACGAGGAGGGCAAAGATGAAGCAAATGGAGTAGACAGCGACACACCACTGGAGCCCTGGATAACTAGAGTACTGGTGGTGGTCCAAGCAGATGAAGATGATGCAGGCCACGAAGGCCTCCAGAACCTTGAGGAGGCCCGGGACTGTGGACAGGAACCCACTCAGCTCGCCGGGTTTAGCTCGGGTCAGCCCCACTTCAACGGCGTACAGGATAAAGACCAGACAGGAAGTGACTGTGGCACCGATCTGTCTGCTGCAGCTGGAGCAAGTGTAGAACCTGGGATAGATTATGGACGCTGCTAGCACCTGTGTGAGGAAAAGGTAATTATAAGAATGAGAAACGATTAATTCTAACCTTACTGTCTGTCAGTCTGTTTTACTTATAAGAACAATTGCACACTTAAAGGTGGGGTAGGTAAGTTTGAGAAACCGGCTCGAGATACACTTTGTGTTATATTCCATGGAATGCTCTTAACATCCCGATAGCAATGAATATCTTAAGTGCTTTGACAAAAAATCCATAAAAAAATATCTGTGGAAGCCGTGGCGCTGTAAAAAGCACGACCAATCATCTGAGCCGGCCCGGCTAAAATAACTGGATGGCCTACCTGCCTGTCAGCCTTCCATCTGTGCACAAACTTATCTCGTGCCCTCATTGGTCATGTGCGCGTTCGTGTGTGTTGGAGGAGGGGCTCTGTAAGGAAGTGGCAGATTTTTTCCGGCTGTGTATTTTCAAATTCCAGCGCACTCTAGCTGGTTTCTCCAAAATTGATATCCTACTCTTACATTTTGTTAGCTGTAATTTGGCTTTCATTGTGTTCATTTGATAGTCTACATATTTTTCACTGTCAACGTGTATATATTTTACTTTTCAGTTCTGTGTTCTTTTTGTGTTTGTTTATTTCTTTTTTTTTGTTTTAACTTGCTGCTGTGATGAAAAAAAAAACAAATTGGGATCAATAAAATAAATCTTATCTCTTTATCACTTATTGATAACCCCTTTTTTAAAATTATATTAGCAACAGTAAAAAGTATATTAGCACCAGTAAATAATAAACATACATTTTTACAACAGCCTAATGTCAAAGTTAGTCAAATGTGATTATAATCTCTTTTCATTGAATTGTAGGGGTTAAAAACAAAGTGAAACAATTTCAGGACATTTTTCTTAAAAAGTACATCAATTAATTGTGTAATAAGGTGGATTTGTTCTCCCTCTGTACCCTTATGTTTACATTTTCATCTTGGCTCACATACTGTATTTATTTAAAAGGTTAGCTCGTTCATTTAGGTTAAAATGCATCTTATTTTCAACCTGTAGACTTTAATATTCCCAAGAACACTAATGTCACTGGCTTCAACAACAACCCATGTCAAGTTTATAATACAAATATTTGTAAACAAAGACAAATGAGAAGATACCAACCATTAGAGTTGCCAACATGGCAAACGCAGCAGTGAAGTCCTCCCAGGAGATCGGCAACTTCGAGCTGAGGCTGAAGAACTCCAGGAAGAGTATGAGAAAGGTGACGCAGAAGCACAAGCACCAGGTGAACATGCACCACGTCCAGAAGGACTCTGCCCTGTTTCCCACTGAAGCCACCAGGCTGAAGGAGATACAGGTGAGGATCAGCTCCAGTATCCGCACGATGCCCACAGGCACTGTCAGTGTCCTGAAATCCAGTGTCACCATGGTGGTTGTAATCCTGTTACTGTGGTTCTAGAGAGATATTTAATAAGATATCCTCTTTTCACCAGCTTGTTTCCTCTTCCTTCTTAATTTGTTTTATTATTTTTGCTTTCTCAGGTCTCGCAGCTCATCCGGTTAGTCCTGCCTGAATGACGGATACAGAAAAGATTAATGCAGAACCAATGGCCGGTCCCTTGTCAACGCCCATCCGTACCTTCTTCCTTAAATGGTCAGTAAGGAAATGAGCGTGTGAGATATATGGAGGGTTTTTCTAGGGGTGGGGTATCTGGTATTTCCCTTTTTTTCGTTGCTTATCAGTTGTATATATGGCATGGTCAATAAAATAATTCAAATGATTTACAGCAGTTGTGTCCAACAGGAACTGCACCCTATGAAGTGTCCTTTCACTTCACCCTTTTTCTTATTCATTATGTTTGCTAACTTAACGGCTTGCCCAAACATCTATGGATTCAATCTGTAAATGCGTTACAGGAGGCTTAAAGGAATCTGGCCTCAGTGCTACAGAAGAATAATGTAAGATATACACGGAGCTTATATTTGTCTTTCACTGGATATGAAATGTAGGTCTGAAATATTGCATAGTATGATATTAATGTTGCTTTTTAGGACATGGATTAATCAACTAAGGGCTTTACAGTACTGTTCCAAATGAAAACCATTTTACTGCCAACTGTTTTAGATGGCCACACACACACACACACACAACACACACACACCACACACACACACACACACACACCCACACACACACACACACACACCCACACACACACACACACACACATCTGAAAGTGTCCTTTATCTACGTAACAGAACATTTAGATTAAATGTTGCTGTACAAGAAGTATTTTCGCCCAAATCGTAAAGAAAATGTATATAAAATGTGTTTGTGTTTTCATCCAGTCTTCATTGGAGTACCCATTAGAAAAAGAAAACAGGTTTTGCCACATGATTCATTAGCCAAACCTCTTCAAACATGATTAAAATAAATCTCTATATTGTTTAGATGAGTCTGCAATACTGTGACTTTGGCCCAAAATGGGTAGTGGTTTTGATATGTTCCCATGAAGCAGGTGTCAATGGTTAACTAACAGCCTCTCCCACCCCCCCCCACCCCCCCCCCCACCTTTCAAACACTGTGTCACAAGTTAGACACTTCTATTATTGTTTGTTTGGTGGCTCAACTAAACTCTCCTGTCATTTTTTCTTTATGGAAAATCCTAATCAGTTTACCTTTAAGCCCCAACTGAGACTCTACATAAAGCTGACCCACACAGGAAATCATAGTCAACATCTTTAATGTGTTCTGTTGATAATGTACATAACCGTTTACATTAATAGATTTGACATCGTTTAAAAAAAACATACATTCAAAGTTCAAGTTTCTGGAGGCCAATATGATGTGTTTTATATATATTTAAAACAAAGTCTCAAACTGAAAAAAACACCTATTTTTACACTAAATGTTTTGTCACTTATCTTTCACACTCTGAGCACCATCTTTCAACCAACACTCTGTAAAATAAACTGTAATAAAAGACTAAAGAAATCAGACATCATCCTCATCGGCCCCCCATCCCGTATCAAAGACATCCAGAATTTCAACTTCACCATTGACAGCCAGACTCTATCTCCCCCCCTCACATCCGCAACCTCGGAGTCATCTTCGACAGTCAGCTCAAATTCAACCACCATATCAATCACATCACCAGGACCGCCTTTTTCCACCTCAAAAACATTGCCCGTCTCCGCCAATCACTCTCCTCCTCTGCTGCTGAAACCCTGATTCATGCATTCATCACTTCACGACTCGACTACTGCAATAGCATCCTCTACGGCATACCATCCAACCTAATCAATAAACTCCAACATATCCAGAACTCTGCTGCCCGCCTCCTCACCCACACCCGCTCCCGAGACCACATCACTCCCGTCCTCCAGAACCTCCACTGGCTCCCCGTCCGTCAAAGAATCAACTTCAAAGTCCTCCTCATTACTCACAAAGCCCTCAACAATCAGGCCTCACAGACCTGCTGCACCACCACGCCCCTTCCCGCTGCCTCCGCTCATCAGAAGCCAACCTCCTATCCATCCCCACCCGCACCAATCACCGGACCTGGGGGGACAGAGCCTTCTCCGTCGCTGCCCCCTCCCTCTGGAACTCACTCCCCCAACCCATCAGAGACTGCACTGACCTCACCACCTTCAAAAAACTCACAAAACTCACCTCTTCAATCTGGCTTTTAATGTGTGATTGTTTTTGTATTATTTGACTTTAACTTTAACTATATATTTATTTGTTGTTCCTTCCTTTTCTTTTTTTCCCTTCACTATATCTGTAAAGCGTCTTTGAGCACCTGTAAAAGCGTAACAAATTAAATCTATTATTATTATTTATTATTAAAGACACAAAGAAAAATAAATGAATGGTGGTGAGAGGAAGAGCTGCAATAATAATATATTGAAGACAGTAGAGGCACTGACGCTCTAATAAGATTATTTGTCTGGTTTCCAAGCAGAAGGGAACTGAAAAGAGACAAAGAAGAGAGCTATCTCTAAAAGTCTCTTTGGGTGGGACCGTCCTTGAAGACATTTCCCTGTCTGTCGATTGGCTTGTCTCCTCTGGGCTCCAAATCCAGTGTACTGTTTATTTATATCCTGTCCTGTCCCATCAAAGATTCATCCATGAAGACTGCCACAATATTCCTTCGACATGGTCTTACAATACCTCTGGCCTTAAACCAGAATCTCCTTTTATTACTTTGCATTACTGATAACAAGAGATAGATCAATAGAGAAAATGGGCGAAGGTCTTGGGCCTGCCTGTAATTAAATAACCTCTGCAGGAGTCAGGAATTGCACTTTGTTAAAGGAAATGTACTTTGATATTTCCAAATCATTGGTACATTTTCATCAGAAATAAAGTAGTTTACAGCCATGTTTTAACCTATCACTTATGAAAGCTTTAGCGCAAGTTCAATAAGGAAGACCTAACACGAGTCACTTACACGTCACTCTATGGCTCCCTTCCCCCCTCATTAAATATGAGGGCGTCACCCCTCAGCAGCCAATCGCTGCACATGCTAAATTCCTTAAATGCCTGCTCTTCCTCCCTGTCAGTTGTCATTGCAGATGATCTCACGCAACCCGCCTCCACCCCTCTCACCTCCTGTCTCCTTCAGGACAAAGCTAAACCTTCCTCCTTCAGACCGGTCTCACCTACTCATCACCACCACCAGTGTCTAGACCCCGGGGATTTAATCGGAGCGGTTCTTTCCCTCCTGAATGATTATCCTGCAAACCGGGGCCTAATCGCCAAACACCATTACATTCTCCTGTTGTATTATCATGGCAATCATTTCATTCATATGACGTGTAAACAATAAATATGTAATTCTTACATCACGTCTCTCCGGTTTGAACTATTTGTGTTAGAAGGTGCCCGTGTGTACAGCCTACTGCTAAAGCATAAAATGACATGCTTGTTTTAATTGATGCATCCAATATGAAATATGTTACTGGAAGTTGTTTGGCTGTCTGCTTTTCAAAAGCTGCCTTCATTATACCTCTTTAGTCTTAGTCTAAAGTTAGCTTAGTTTCATGTGTTTCTCCCATGATCTGGAATACAGCCCATTGAATTTAACTCATGTTGCTCTCTCTGATGGTGTTAGGTCACAGCTACGCTCTGTCTCATCTGACTCCCTGTGTTGCTCACTTCATAATTCCCTGTATCCAGTATAATAGGATAAAATAGAGATGTAATTGAGGCGAACCGATTATTTCACAAATGTGTGAAAACCGTTAACCAAACACTCTTTTATAATTACACAGCAGAAACAGAAATGATGTAGTAGGCACTCAAATAGAACTCTCTCCTAAAGAAAACACTAACCTGTAATACTTCAAGAACAATACAAGTACCTAAAGCCTTACCAAACAATGTATGACACATCACTTGCAAAGCCCTCCTTGCATGTTTACAGTCTTGGATACAGCAGGTGTCATCGTGAAATGTGCCTTTTCCTGTTAAGATGTGCTTCAATTGACCCCACATTCTGCTCTCTGTTAAAGGATGGAGGGGGAACGGGCCTCAAACATTACAATCTTGCAAGTCTGCCGTCCTCTAGTGGCCATATATATGAACAATAGGAAATGTTTTCTTTGGATTCCCTTCCTATGTCGACCTGCAATTATCAAGTGTGGCTGTAGCGGAGTGCATTCCAGATGTAATGGGTAATGTCCTTGTGACAGTCCTGTGACCTCTCGGTATCCTCAGCCTGACTGTCATCAGGAACCTCATGTGTCAAAGTCATGTGTTTAACGTTAGAGGTTCACACAGTATGTGGAAGATGAGGAACATCTAGTGTTGCAAAAGAATGTGTCTAATTTCCTGCTTAACCATAAATTACAAATATTGACCGTTGGAAGAATCCTGCTTATAAAACTACTAACATAATGTTCTCCTCCGTATCATAACTTATTATTACTAAATAGTTTATCTGAACATTTTAGATTCCCCATGTTAATACTTTACTTTCACTCCCTTACTTCTGCTTCTTACGTGATTTAAATAAATAAAAACATTTTTTAATCCAAAATGTTATTTTATTGTTTAGAACTGCTCTACTTAGCCTTAAACGTGTGCTGTCATTAAGTATAAAGTATTCAGCTGCTCCATACACAATTTATATGGACATTTTAGACCCTTCCTCAGGGTGCTAACATATTTCTAAATGTATTGTCTATGGAGCAGTTCCTGGCATTATACTTAGTGACAGCACCATTTTGAGTTTTAGAACTTTTGGATTTCTGAGAGAGTTGTTCATGTTACGTCATACTCTTGGATTGTTTTAGCCAATAGACATCATGAATTGAAAAATAAACAGACCCACCAGGGTAGATTAGAAATGGTCACTAGGGAAGGAGGACAGTTCAACTTTTATTCATCCAGATAAAAGTGTAGGAAAGCACAGTTACTGGTGTTACAAGTCAGAAAACAACATGGATGTCAGTTTTCTTTTAGTGGGGAATAAAAGGCAGGCAGCTGGTCATCTTTTTCACTATCGTAGCTTTAACCTTTTAAATGAAGTTTGGAATATCTCACACTATCTGGATGAAACAGGATTTTTACAGCTAAAAAACTTGAAGCTGGTTTCGTTTCCGTAGAAATTCTCACATGGTTTTCATTGGGTGAGTCAGACTGAGATAGTGTTAGACCACAGGAAACTACACAGGAAAAACACATACATACAGATGTTATGACAGAGAGAGTTTAGTTATCATTCATCGACAAACAAAGTAACATTATTTTCTGTTAATCGGTCAAAAATAA